TTGGTTGTAGACTGCATGTTTTTATTCTGTTCTAATTGATACAGAAACACATGCAGGTACAACAGACACATTTACTGTTCCATCAAGCATAGTCTTTAAATTACAATATTTGGTTATATATGAGCACCTTGTTGATGGAAATTTCGCATTATAATTTGTAAGTAGTTCTTATGTGGAAGTCCCATATCCTTACAAACATGCACAAAGTATGAATGAATATACGCATTCACAATGTGGTGTGGCTTGAGTCATATTAATCATAATTACATACTCTCATTATAAACGATTCATTATGGCCATTACGTAATTGCTTTCATTATGAACGATCCATTCATACGACGTAATTATTGTTTTGTACAATGGAATAATTTGTAATAATCAAATGTCCTTTATTGAGGTTACTGATTTTTTCCTTTTATCGGCTTATTGTCTCCCACCATCTTCAAACGGAAGGAAAAAGTCTACCCCACAAATATTGTTTTCTTTAAACACAATAAATTGTTCATTTTCTTTGAATACTGTAATTTACGGACAAACTATTTTATATGTTCTTCATTTGGTTCATATATCTTGAATGCTAATTAAATGACTAGGTGATAAAACTGAAAGAACTGTAGTCCAACAGATATTGCATGTGACTATGAAACCCATATTGAACAGCAGTACTGGCTTTAATTCTCATATCGCTGGCTCGAGACATAACATCCTCCCGTGATCATTTTCCCTTTAAGCCATGAAAATCAAAGTTCGTGTTTTGATAAAGAAGAAGAAGAAAAAAACATTGTTTTCAATAAATTTCACTATTCTCCCCAAAAACCGCACAGCACAACACTTTACTGCCATGCATCCACATCGTCAAATCTTGCACCTCGCCTGCAATACAACGAACAGGCTACGAAGTGGCAATTCGGCATCGAGCCCAGCGCAGTTTTCATGCACTGATGTGACTGCTGTGTAGGCCTACATACGAGAAAACATACGAGGGCATGGGAATAGTTGGGGAGGGATCAAGGGTAGCTCGATAGTCACGCTGTTTTTCATTTCAAAAATTGGCAAATCAAAAGGCTATACATGTAGAAATAAATAATGAATGATGAAGAAAAAGCCTCATTAGTTTTCATTTTTGCCCGGACGTAAAACGGGATCTTTCATTCTTGTGGCCTTAGCTCGCGTGAGTGTAAACCGAAATGAAATCAGGGTGATGGTAATGGCTTGTCAAGTCGGTGATTGTTTTAAACTGCTTCATCAGGAAATTGATTCAAACAAATCTTATTTTAGATATATTCAAAATATAAACTAACGTGTTCTCAAGTGATATCTCATCGATTATAGATATAATTTCTACTTATTCTTCTACTTATATTGATTTAAATATGATAGCAATAGGGGTCATAGAAATATCAACAGAAACAATAAGTGATAGATATCAATAAAAAAGGAAGCCAGTTTAGGATGGCGTTTCCCAGCGCCTTTCCAACCGTCGCCACAGGGCCATGATCATCATCTCGTATCACATAGTAACCCATATTTGCCGGTTTGGTTTACTTTCATTTCTGTCGTTTTCCAGGAAGAGTTATTTGTGTATATTTGCTTCTTGTATATTTAACTTATTGTTTATATATGCTCGATGTTTCTTCAAAGGTGATATGTAACATAGTATATTTGTATATTATCTGAGAAGAAATGCTTGTGGAATGTATGAATATATTATGACCATACGTATCTACTTGAAGCTAATAGGTTCTTGCATATAACATAATCTGTCTTGCAGTTTGTATGACGATTGCAACTTATCAAAACTTATCAAAAGGCTACCCTTCTGCCTGGGTCGATATCAAAAGTGTTCTGGGCGTTCTCCATTTTATCATTATACATCCCTACGTCTTAGGAGGAGGATTTCAGAAGTAATGCAAAAATATCGGTACATATATACGTAGTAATACATATGTAATAAAACGGGAATATTTTGAGTAAGGTGCCGATTGCTCATGCTAATGTTGTTTTATGATTCAGTCGATACTATGCTTAGGAAGTGTACTAAATAGAAATTCATTTAGCATTTTGTGTTAGTCTCTATTTTGGTTAGGAAATACTGTTCATGAGAAAAAGGAATTTTGTTTTTCTACCAGTGCTTTACCAAGTTTTGGTTGCTTGTTCATTGTTTGCGTAATCAGCACCTCCGCTATTCTTTATCACAACTTTTTCATGTGTGCACGTCTTGTTTGGCACAACGTCGGGTGTCTTTGAACTTGGCTTTGAGGTACCGACTCGAACACAATATTATAAGCTTCGCGCGCGCGCGTGGATATATATACATACGTACAGACACACACACACACACACACACACACACACACACACACACACACACACACACACACATATATATATATATATATATATATATATATATATATATATAGTATAAACATATAAACCAGCAAGCCAAGACCCCTTTCACCACCACTACATGCCCAACTTTATCACACACACACGTACA